CTAATGACGAGAGAGGGACTGGAGAGAGGGAGCTGGGCCTGTTTAGTCTAGAGAAGAAAAGACTGATAAGAGATCTCATCAATACATAAAAATGTTTCAAAGGTGTGTCAAGAGAATAATGCCAGGCTCTTTTCAGTTGTGCCCCATGACAGGACAAAGAGCAATGGCCATAAACTAAAACACCAGAAGTTGCACCTCAACACGGGGAAGAACATTTTGACATTGAGGGTGGCCGAGCACTGGAACAGGCTGCCCGGGGAGCTTGTGGAGCCTCCCTCTCCAGAGGCATGCAAAACCCACCTGGACATGTTCCTGTGTCACCTGCTCCTGGTGACCCTGCCTTGGTAGGAAGGTTGGAAATAGGATCTTCCAGCTCTAACAATTCTGTGACTCTATGATCTTTGTCTTAATAACACCTGGCTAGTAAACCTCCATCTTTTTCAGCAGAAAAAGGAATATTGTAAACATTGGAGTATAATTATTGCACAAGGATAATAGGACATTACTACAGCTGCATAGTAATAGCAACATCTAAGAATGTGCATCACTATGTATGGGAAATAAAAGCACGGAAAGATAAACTAATTTCCCAAAGGTCACTCAGCAGGCCAGCAGCACAGCCAGGAATAGAACCCTATTACATACAATTCCCTGTCATGTATTTTCTTCTGGTTTAAAATGGGACTTGGCTTTAAACAGGACATCATTTCTGTGTACTCTGGTAGAAAGTAAAGTTCTTTGGCAATGGCAAACCTAGGAGAAAGACACCATGACTCCAACACTTACTTAGATATAAAAGCACCTTCACTGGGCCATACCCTCAAGACAAAAGTAATTGGAAGATGCTGTCTTTTGTTACAGTGCATGCTGATTTACTTCTCTTTCTTTGTTTCTGCCTTCATCCCTTTTTTTTTTATTTTAATTTTTTTTCTCTCTTTTACACTTCTCACAGAATATTGTCCCTTAAAGGACTGGTATACATGGAAGAAACATGGGCCAAAAGGTGAGTGTACACTCTGTGGGAGTAAGATGCCACTCAGTTTCTTGCAAGTCTGTGAGATGCAACAACAGAGTGAAGCACAGTTGGCTCAAATATATGCTCAACAGTGTTGCATTCAGTGTCCCCTTTCAAGTGTGGTAGACCATGAGTCTTGCTTCAGTTGGAAGTTGCAGCACGTCAATCTGGCTCATTATGTTTTGACAGCTTTCATTGCACAAGTGGTCTGTCACATCCTGGGAGTTTTCATTACACCTGTCCTGGCCTCTTTAATGAAAAGGCTTTTGAAGTCCACTCGATCAAGAGACAGCAGTGAACAAAAACATTGATTTCTGTTGTCATATCTATATTTAGATATATTTAGAAATATTTAGATTGTTCCCCTAAGCCATTTTAGCTCCTAGAAGGACTGTTGCAGAGATCCCTGAATATCCATATCGGGCTCAAAAAGCCATCCAAGCTGGCTACTCCAGAATACTGACTGTAGACTGTCACCTGTAGTCCCCATTCAAACGGGCATTCAGCCTAACTCCACCAAGGCCTGCCTCCACAGTGGTTTTTGAGTGAGAGTTTCATGTCAAGGGCTCACTACTTTTTATTTGCATTGCTGCTAAAGACGGCTGCTGCCCTCCTCGTCTGCCTCACTGCTGTTCCCTCAGCTCACATCATGATCTCACTTAAGATGAGCTGATCAAAAACCATAGATGGTTCCCAGGTGAGCAGTGAGCTGCTGTGAACTGCAGGCAGCCACACAGATGTACAGGTGAGGCATAAACAAGGCGACAGGAACCCATGCCTGAGAGTGTGAGAAAAGGATTTTCTGTAGTTCCCTGCATTAGGGATAGTGTGAAACCACATACTGAGGTTAAGTTAGACCAAACAGCTGAGTCAATGTGTTAAAAAGAGGGCTTCTTTTTCCCCTTTCCCATCTCACTCCTGCCTTCCTTCCTTGCACATGGCATTTTCCCTGCTGTTCATTCTGCTGAGCTGATGCAATACACTAACTTGGCAGAAAAACAGCCATTCAGTCTAGTCTTCTGCTGGACTGGTGAATTGGTTTGTCTTACAGTGGGGTCTGGGAAGCCCCACACAACAAAAGGTAATAGAAGTGGGAGTGAAATTGCACCCAAGTGAAATTGCAGTATCCGTGAGTAATTAACACAGCTTTGGATGCCCCTTAGCCTTTTGGAGAAGCTGCAGGCAGCACTGAGGTTCTGCTCCCTTTCCCTGCCCTATATTCCTGATCCACTCTTGCCTTTGGTATGTATCTACTGGGGTATAGGGGGTTGTTGGTGGTGGTGGTGGTTTTTTTTGCTAAATTACCCTTCTGACCAGCTCACTGAGACATCAGAGCTGGCAGAAGAGAAGCAGCAGAAAACAGAGTGAGATGGTGCACATGTAGGACCACTCCCTCCCACAGCAGTGACCTGTTCTGTTGGCTGAGCTGATCTTGTCCCCCTGCACCACTGCAAAGGCCAGGATGGAGAGCACAGTCCTCCTCCCACAAATCTGTGATTATCACACCACTGCTGGGATTACAGCGGGTCCAAGAACAAAGTTAGGCAACCACCTTATTCACCCACAAAGTGTTCTATAATGCCACTATAGACAGGAAAGGTGAAGAAGTAGTTGCAATTAGGCAATTAATACGCCCAGAACAATTCAATAGAGCTGCTGACCATCTTCCTGTGACAGCTTCTGCTGTCATTGAATTACTCACTGAGTGGGTGCATCCAGGCCAGCTGAGCCTGGGGCTGACTAATCTTATTTCCTCCTCCTATCCCTCTTTGCAATCTTACAGTTTTACTGTAATTACAACTCTCTTTCAAACCCCAGATTCTTTATTTTTGCATAACAGCATTTCTATATTTTTCCCAAGTATTGTAGAAAATCTGTTCTACAGCAAAAACCAGATGTATGTATGTACACATACAGAATGAATGCTCACAGTAATATCCAAATTTTAGATTAAAAATATTCAGTAAATAGCAGAGTAATTTCACAAGAGTTGCTGTGATGGCTTTGTACAAAGGGACAAACTAAGGCACAGAGGTGCAGTGTTTTTCATTTAGCAGTAATTTAAAGTGTCATTGGACAATTTCAAAATTATCTGAACTGGCAGGACTGGGTTAAACTGTATTGAGAGAAGAAAAAAACCCCACCAGTTATATGTTTTACTGACTTAGAACATCAAAATGCCGTGCTATGAGTAGGAGTCTTCATTGTAGCAAATAATTTTTGTTTTTTTCATTAAGGGGCTGCTTGAATAGAGACATTGTTTCCTTGAACTATGGTAATCAACAGGAACACAAATTATTTAGGCTGCAGGTGACTACTGAGGCACTTTAGTTTTGTCATCTGTTATTTACAGTTGTAGCTTCCTCCTTACCAGTAACAGGATGGACCAGTGATAAGATGGTGTGAGATACGATAAAGAATGAAGAGGCCCTACTGACACAGGCCTGACTTAAAACATAGAAATCTGTCTGTCTACAACATGACTTGAGAAAACTTGAGAATTAAGACCATAACTAAACTACAGTGTCTTATTAGAAATTTGATTCCTACTTTTATCGGATAACCTCATAGAAATTAAGACACAGTATTTCAGGAGTGGAGGCCCATTCATCCCCATTTTTAAGACATAACCTTTGCAACAAAATACATCCATCCATTCACAAATTCAGGTCCACTTCTAGGTATGATTCTGTAGTACCTTGCCAGTTTAAAAGGAAATAAAGGAAGCCAAATGCTTATTCCTAGGAATATTTTCTATGAATATAGAAATAGAATAGGTTTCTATGAAAAAAATAAATGTGCATTATATTCAGTTTGCCAATGATCTAGCCTGAATGGTTTTTCTAAGTAACAATTTCCTAAATATGCCACTGCAGCAAAAGAGCTAGAACAGCCAGGTCCCAATTTTCCATTTCTCAGAAAGGCTGTGTATGTGTGTGTGCAACTGCTCACACAAAACCCACGCCAGTACAGATGATAACTCTGATTTATAAATTTGTTCTTCTAAAACAGAGCCAACTAACATAGTCCTTCCCTCATTACTATATAGCGTCTGTGGCCTAACTATAGCTCAACCATCTGATCAGCTAGAGCACTTCCTGGAGAAGTTTGTAATTGACTATTGGAGTAAAAGCAGTTTAATGGTTTATCTTCAGTAAGAGAGCAACCTGGAAACAAAACTTTCCAGCTTTCCAGAGACATGAAGTCCCAGAGGTCTGGAACTCAGCATTAGTCCCTCCATAGTATCTCCACAGGTAACGGGGAGAACAGCCTTCATGTTGAGCCAATACAGACTGAGCGACTCCCCCTTTTGCTGTCTACAAGCTGCTGAGGCAAGCAAGGGCCGTGGCAGTTATTAATAACCCTATCTCCAGACATGCTGGAGAAGTGTGTAGTCACGCTTCTGAGCTGTCCTTAAGCAATTCCCATCTTCCTTTAGAAAGCTGTAATCTGTCAGAACATGCTGCTAAGAATACACTTGCAGAACATTATGCGTCAGGGAGGGGGTAGACCTCATCTACTATCTCCTAAAAATCTTTTTATAGAAACCACCTAAAAATAGCCTGGAAGCCTAACAGGGTATGTGGTTCAGTTTTTAAAAAGTAAAAATAAAGTTCTGTGCCTTCTATTGCAACTTTCCAGGACTAGGATTTAAGTTACAAGATTTGCCATTATGGGGATGATCTAAAAGTGCACATTTCCAGAATAAAATCCTTACAGAACAATATACATGATTGAAAACAAGCAGTACAGACTGTAGCTTCAAATTAAAGATTTGTTGATCTTTACAATCTCATTAATGAATTAGCTGCTTAGCAGTTAACAACTCAATGCCACCAGCCTGTAAAATCCCACCATTAGGAGACTTGTTAGTAACATTCACCAGGAAATTAGAAACTCTACTTTTTCAAACTTCTGTCTGAGGAGAGCACACATATCTGCAAGTGTGTGTCTATATGCAGTCCTCAGGAAGTACATATGGCACTGAAGAGTAAAAAATTGTCTTTATTAAAGCAAAACAGTTATTAAAGGAAACAGTAAGGTTGGAGCATCACACAAGTCTTATATTGTAATCATGACTAATATACTCAAGCATATCAAGTTTAGTGTTTTTTTAATTGGGTGATAATTTCTAAGGGACTAGGGAGGTTTTTAATTTTTTTTAACAGTTGCAGGTCCATATAAAGAAGATGAAAAAAGAAGTATCTTACACTGAAGAAAGAAATAGGTGAAATTTATAGTTGTCTCCAGCTGTGAAAGGAGTTAATTTCAAGTTTTCCTCTGCACAGCAAAGAATTTTTGTCTTCTGCATGGGTGAACAATACCCTTTTGAGAAAGCAGCTAAGAATCAGAGTTGTCAACCACAGTCATCATCATCATCCCTGACTTTAGGCAATCTTTAAAAGAAGCTATGACAATTAATTCATAACCGTCTTCTAGAAAAGTCAGAGAAGATTTAATTTCACTTAGTATTTCCTAGGAAGGAAATCAAGGCCTAATGTGCTTGTCAGAGGTTCACACACACACACAAGTAACACACATAGCATTTACATACAGGTGTGTCACACTGCAGCTGACCAGGAGTAAGTCAAGAATCCTGAGCAGTTCCCACGTTGTCACAAACTCCTCCTGGCAAGACAGACTTTGACATAACTGCTTACCCCCACTATGCATATGGACAAGATATTCCTGAAGCTCAGTCTTTAAATGAAGATTCATTCTTTTCTTTGAATTTCCAGAGTGCACTTGTTTTGGACAGTTTATTACCATTTTATTTTTTAAGCACTGTCCTTGGGTTTAAAATCCTCCAAGTGTTTTATTTGTCCATCAGTAGAACCACTGTCTTGCTTGAATTGGATAGGATGCTGTCCTCATCCTAGTACAAGGATTTCCTTGTGGGAATCACGAGCTGGTACACAGCAGAAAATACACAGAACTGTATTGCTTCTGTTTGGTGCATGAACTCAGATCCAATGCCTCTGTATCTGAACACAGAAACTTGCTGGAATGAAAAAGTGAGTTTATCTCCACCAATCTGGAGGAGCTTTGTAGTGAAGCTATGATTTCTCACCTTGGTTGCATCTAAGTAGTATGTAAAACATTTTGGCCCATCTCTGTCCCCTTTTTCTATGGTGCAATGAATCTAATATTGCAGGGAACCCCAAAATGGATGTGTTCCATCTTCCTATGTATAGAAAAATATTCAAGAAGAAACCTTTGTCAATGATACTGGGAGTGGTCAGCTCTTGACTACTGATTTCTGACTACACTTCTGCTATACTGCTGGAAGTTATCAGTGTAACTACAACTCTGCAACTACAGACCAAAGTTAAACAATGCTGAAATTGTGAGGTTTTCACTGATGACAGCACAAAACTGCAGTACCACAATCAATGACCAGAAAACATGAAATCGTTGGAAGATATCTGGAAGAGGTTGCAACCTTTCAAGAGACACTATCCAAGAGTCTCCAGAAGGGTAATGCTGTGGCAGGAATGGAGACAAAGTCTGCTGATGTGACTTAGAGGCTTCATGGATGTGTAAATGCCTAAAGTGCTGGAGCCATTACAGATACTAGAGCAGCAGGTCAGACAATTGATTTTTGTCTTCTTGTCTTTTATCAATGTTGTGTAAATATAACCTTGTCTTTGAAACACTTTGAGACTCAGTCTATGAAAGAAGTACAGCAAGTAGTCCCAGAGCAGCAGTTTGCCTGGGACATTCAGGTGAGTTTTCTGTATGCCTTGAATATTGGAAACATGCAATTTCATCTCCATGACATCCACAGGCCTTCCCTGTGGAAGAGCATTACAGGTACTGTGAAGATCTGGCTGACTGAACAGTGGAAGCTACTGCAGCCAACTGTGTAATTTAACCTGGAAAGCAAGCAGGCTATGCTTGCAAGCTTGTGAAATAACCAATAATGTTAGAAATGTTCCTTTGAATTATGGGATCAGAGGGGATTATTTTGCAGCTAATATAAGACTATGGCACATTGGCATGCTCCCAGGACCGGCAGGTGCACTGCTGCCTGTTGCTGGGGAGTTGTGCCCTCTCCCTCAGCTGAACAGCTGCTGCCCATGACGAGGTTGTCCCAGTGCCTTCACTGTGGGTTTGAGGTCCCAAAAGCCTCCCAGCACAGGGACCAGCGGAGCGAGCAGTGAGTGTTTGACCAAGGGTCCCTATGAGGAGTGGCTGAGGGAGCTGGGGGTGTTTAGCCTGGAGGAGGCTCAGGGGAACCTCGTCATTCTCTACACTTACCTGAAAAGTGGTTGTAATGAGGCGGGGGTTGGACAACCTATGACAGTGTTGTCCACAGTGGCTAATTATTGGCTTGTTGCACACCAGGTAATGAATCAGGGTTTTTGTGGACAACAGCACAAGAGGAAGCAGCCTCAAGGGAGGGGAGGTTCAGGTTGGACATCATGAGAAATTCCTCCACAGGAACAAGGGTTAAACATTGGAACAGGCTCCCCAGAGAGATGGTGGACTGACCATCACTGGAGGTATTCAAGAAATGACCGGGCATGGCACTTACTGCCGTGGCCTAGGAGTCAAGGTGTAGATGGCTCAAAGATTGGACTGGACGATCTCAGAAGTCTTTTCCAACCGAACTGATTCGGTGAATCTGTGTTTTGTTGCGTCCGCTTGCTCCCCGGCCCGGCCTAGCCCTTCCTACCACATTATTGCGGAGCGGCTCCGGTGCCGGAGCGGCTGAGGGCGGAAGGGGAGGCGGCTGAGGGCGGTGCCGGTGCCCCT